TTTATAAAGTTTTATATAATTTAATTAATTAGTTATTGAATTATAAGTAAATATATGATTCTGGTTTTTTTTGCACCTACTGTATATACAGTATATATTATAAAATATCAAAAAACCTTTTATTTTATATTTAAAAAATTTTAAATATATTATTAAAATAAATAATAAATTAATATATATACAGTATATTTGTTATATACAATATATTGTAAAATTTATTAATTCATTATAAATTAAAATTTTTATAAATAATTATTATTAAATCTTTTGAATATTATTTTTTAAAATAATTTTCATATTGAATAAAAAATAATAATTATAATATCAAAATTTTATTGATAATCCAAGTCATTATTAAAACAATACAGAATTCAAACTATCATATTTGGAAATATGATATTAAAATCAATTAGAATATATAAAAGTTGATTTCGACATAAATTCCGAATAAAAATTTTTAAATAAATAAATAATTTATATATAAACCATTTAGTTACATGCTTAAATGATCGATCGATTACTTGAATTGAAACGGACTCAATTGCGATGGTAAAGTTTGAATGATTAATTTCGGCTAAATTCGTATTTAAGAGTTTTATGTATTGATTAGTCTATCGCGACAAATGAAATTCTTGATTGTTGATTAGTTGGGCAATCATAAGATACTGTATGCACATGCTATTATGTTACAATCTTTCGAAGTATTATCTGCATCAAAACTATTCTACAATGAATTTAAAAGAAATCTAAAAGGAAATTGAAAGATAAAAGTGTTTGAGGAATGCTGAAATATTTTAATAATATTAATGAAACCACATAAGTGAATTCATGAAGTACGGAAAAAGTGTACTTGAGATACAGAATGCAGATTCAAACATCTTTATTTAAATCAAAATTCCGAAACACTCGAGTTTTCCTGGAATTGGTATACAGCCAATTGTGACAAAGAATTTCCAATTTCATCAAATTGCCTTGCTATTATGTCACTGTCGAAACAAGCCTTCCCATTACAGGAAAATCAATTACACTAAACGCGTCAGCCGGTGCGGCAGAGCATGCCTTGAAATATGGTTGGACAAACAATCGAGATTTTTCATTTTGGAAGTGATTTCTTCCGTAACGGCCAATAATTAAGAGAAATAGAACGTTAACCCATCATTTAATTATCATTATTTGCGCTAATAGAATTTTGTCAAAAACCGGTTAACGTCCACACTAGGGCAGTATTGAAGTGTTAACCAGCCATTTGGTCACTTTGGCGCAATCACAACTCGCTAAGGAATCAGTACACCAAACAAGAAAGTTTCATCTCATCGTAATCCTCAAGAAACTCATACATTTTGGTTTACAGGAAAATTCAACAGATATATAGATATTCATCTGGACGTGATATTGAATTATAAAAAAAAAATCGTAAAAATGAAAATTGTTTCTCCAAGCTATATTCGTGAAGTGTTAATCGTCATTATTATTGTAATCCATGTCTCGACGATACCTACGACCGCGCATTATAGGCGTTGTCATGATAAATTCCACCATGAAGAACATCATTATAAACATCATCATTGTAAACATTATAAAACAACTGTAACGATTACAGAATATGTTTTAGGTGAATGTTCAACGACGAGTTCTCCACCGACTACCTGTTTTGTCCCACCAGATAACTCTTCAGTCTCATATACTACTCCCGTTTCATCAGAAACATCTTCAGTAGCTACTACTTCATCGATTACTCCATATCCATCAGATACATCAATTGCTTCATACCCATTAGATACATCGATTACTCCGTCAGATACATCTTCACCGATTACTACAGTTCCGCCAGATACATCTTCGACAGCTAGTTTATCTTCACCGATTACTACAGTTCCGTCAGATACATCTTCGACAACTGGTTTATCTTCACCGATTACTACAGTTCCGCCAGATACATCTTCGACAAATAGTTTATCTTCACCGAACACTCCGGCTCCGTCACATACTTCTTTGCCAACTACTACGTCCAACAAAACCACGGCAACTGTTACAGCTACAGAAGATACGCCGACCTCTTCTAGAATTACTTCATCAACCGCCCCATCCTCGACGACTACTTCAACGCCTACCGTCAAACCGTCAACGTTTTTGGCGTACACCCTTTTTTCAAGCTTTAATGTCAATTATCCGGGTTTCAGCAAAAGCATATTAGGTTTGGTAACATTTTTTCAAACTCCTGATGGAAAAACCATTATCTCGGGACAGTTAAGTCAAACTTTAACCCGATTCGACGGAACTTATACTTTCGTAATTCGTGATGAAAAGGAAACGATATTGTTTGATTTTACAAAGTCAATTATCCCAATTCAAATTGGTGGTGCTTCTACATTCAGCACGACTCAAAATTTGATATTGATTAGTGGAGAAAAGAGCATCATCGGGAAATATTTTGAAATAAGGTTTCAAGACGTAGTCATTGCGAGGGGACAAATAGTTGAAGATTTTGGAGTTTGAAAAGTGATTTGACATTAAAATTAAATCTAGAGAATTCATATTATTTCGAGCCGTGTTCAAAAAAAAAAGATGTTTTTAAAAATGTATATGTAGAAATTTTCAATGTAATAAAAATATTTTGAGCCTGTTATCATACGGTGTATATATCGATACTTTATTTAAGCCTTTCTTACTAATAATTTAAATGTTTCTCTCTTTATAGAACAAAATAAAATTTAAATCCAAGTCAATAAAAAATGCGAATTCTCGGAATAATACATATGATATTTCAGAAAATCATATTATATTTAACTGTTTTTATATATTTCTGCTTACTGTGTATTGATTTTAATAAATAAATTATCACATTATCTGTTAATAAAAATTCTATAATTAATTATTAAAAAATCTTGAAGAATAAAATTATTTATTTGAAAAATAAACTATATACAGTCAAACCTGGATATAACGAAGCCTTCGGGCTAATTAGTAAAAATTGAAAAAAATTGTTTAAAAATTCAT